TTTGGTTACAGAGTATTCCATTATATGAATGTTTATTCAGTCTTTCTCTTCTTGATTGATATTTGGCATAAAAATAATCTTATTAGGAACTGTATAACTAATCTATGTGATGAAAATGACAAAACCTTGAGGATATGAATAAATGGACACAGGTACCATTCTCCAGGATGGGAAGACTAAAGATGTAAAGATATAAAGATGTCAGCTCTCCAAATAATTCATAGGTTTATTGTAATTCTACTCAAAATACCATTGGATTTTAAAAATCATAGCAGAAGGATTCAGAAGTTCATATAGATGAATAAATATTTGAGTCGATGTTAAAGTTCTGAAAAAAAGAAGAATGGATGGAGAGAAACCTAACTATAAGATATTAAAACATAATGAATGTATAATAATTAAAAAATAGAGTGCCAGCCAGGATAAAAAAGACCCATGGGAAGATAGCCTGGAAATGGAACACGTTGGATGTAAGGATTTAATAAATGATAAAGCACATGTATCCATAGGAAAGGAAAGGATTATTTAACAAATGGTATTAGTATAACTAAGCAATTTGGAGCAGCAGAAATTTAGATTTTTTAAATAACACATACTAAAATAAGTTCCACATGGGTTAATAATTACACAGAAACAACAAGCCAAAGAACTGAATTGTGTATTGATTGAACCTAAGAAGGGGGACAACTAGAATTTACAAAAGAGGTGGTTGACGGATTAGACTATGTAAAAATTTAACTTTTATATCATCCAAAAATGTAGCCAAAATGAAAAAATATAGCAGACTGGGGGGAGATATTTGCAGCAAATTTCCAAGGGTTAATATTCTTATATATGAAACCTTTATGCAGATATAAAAATGGGCATAGGACAAGATTGGACAGTTAACTAAATAGGAAATTAAAAACAAACAGGGAAAAAGTCTTAATGCAAATTAAACGACTAAGGAGTTACCAGGATCCACCCATTAAATTAGCAACAACTCCCATTCAGGCCAGAGAAGCATGCAATTAGTAGATGTGTAAATTGTTCATGGTCTTGTAAATAGTGTTACAGCCATTTGAAAACCACTCTTGTGATGTGTCAAGGTTCATAAAAATCTCCATACTTTTTGAACCAGAAATCACACATCTGGGAATTGATCCAAAGAAAATAATAACTGGCCACTCCTTCCAAAAAATAAACGTGTAAGCCCAAAGATGTTCACAGAGTTGTTTCAAATAATGAAAAATTAAAAACAACCTAAATGACTAATCAAGGGAATAATTAAAATTTTCATATACCTTGTAGATAGACTACAATGCAATAATTAAAATATGGTGATAGAGATTGTAATTGAAAAATGCAAGGGTAATTTTTTAAAGTGAACTTTCAAATTGTATGTACAATTCAGTATGAAAGTGACTGAAAGGAAGTATGTAAAAATGATAAGCAGTTATGATGAGGGGTTAGTGGGTAATTCTTTTCCTGTTTTCCATGATCCAATGTAATGCTAGACTGTATTACTAGAAGTACAGCACCTAGATAAGGAGAGCTAATAGACCTATGTTATGAGAGGAGCATGCGCTTTGGAGATGTTAGATCTGAGTTCCAATTCTGGTTCTGCCTATCTAGTATGAGGCCCTCATAGTTACATAACTACTTCGAACCTCAATTTCTAAATTTGAAAAAGCAGCAGGTACCTTTTATTCAATATTGTTGTGTGGATTACCAATAGTAGATGGTAGTTGTTGACAGAAATGCTATTCTAGTCACATCACATCTGGAATAATATTTCAGTCAGTTTACAAAAAGCAAACATAAATCTTAATGGCGAAAAACTAAGGTTTATTTCTTGCTTATGTTACATACTAGCTACAGATTGACTGTGGCTCTACTCTGTTCTCTTCGTTCTAGTATCCAGGCTGACTAGAAAGAAAGATGGTGAAACCAAAGGATAGCTCTTAAAGGTCTGCCTGGAAGTGGTACACTTCCACTCACATTTCATTGGTCAAGGCCAGTGTCGGTGCACTGGAAGTATAATCCTCACTTGGGCATGGGCGGGTACAGAGGGGCAGCAAGTATTTTGAACAAATAATGTATGCTATGACATAATGTGTCCAGTTCTGGCTGTTACTTTAAGGGCGTGACAAGCTAGAGTATGTCCAGAGGAGAAAGATCAGGATGGTGAGTAATTCTGAAATCTCACCTGAAATACGGTGGGAAGAATCGATGGAGAGAGAGGGGTACATTAATGCTGTTTAAAATATTTGAAGAATGGCACATCAGTCAGCTTACAAGCAATGTAAGCTGTCACTACAAGCATGACATACAAGCATGTCACTAGACATGCTGTATGACATCAGTGGGTGGAAGTTACAGCATTGTATTTTTTGATTCAGTATAAGGGCGTAGGAGGAAAGGGGACAGAGAAGGAAATTGTTGGTTGTTTTAAATATCTTACCTCATTTATATTCTTCAAAATAACCCTCTGAGGGTTTGTGTGTATGTGTGTGTTTATGTTAAAATATTGGAGGAAACAACCTCAGAGTTGATAAGTATCTAAGGTCACATGGCAAGTAAGTGGCAAAACCAGTTTGGAATCCAGGTCTGTGTGATCTCATTTCTTCCCACTAAACTTTGCTACTCTCTATAGGGCTGCAAGCTTTCTTACAGTGAAACTGTTCATCACCAGCCATCTTCTGCCTGACAAAGTAATGACCACTCTAAAAGAGTGAGAACCCATCTCTAAAAGCATTCCAACAAAGTATGAATGGAAGGATTGAAAGGAAGGTTGAACTCTAGATTAGTGGTCTGCCAACTTATTTGATTACATGCACCTCTCAGCAAAATAATTTAGCATATGCCATATATATCTGTTATATATATTAAACTATTATACTAATATTATATGTTATAAAACAAAAAATAGAAGTTAAAAAAGTTAAGATTTTATGTAAAATTTAGGTATTTTCATAAATTAGATTTTAGATTTTGTGTAAAATCTTAACTTTTTATAAAACTTCTATTTTATAGGTAGATAGATATTTTTTCCTGTATCCCTATGGATTGTCTTGTGTACCCCCTGAGATGCATACCCCCAACATCGGAGGTCATTGTTTTGGATGATTTGTAAGACCTCTTTTTCAGTATGAAGATTTTATGATTCTATTTGGCCTGAATTTTTCTGAAAGGGATAATGATAGCTTAATTCACTTTCAGAAAAGTTTTTATATAGTCTGTTATCTAAGACCAAAAGTATAAATTCACTGGCATTCAAAGCAGAAATTAAACCTGAAAACCACATAGTATGAAAAGATGCTTTTCCAGATAAGTAGTAATAATCCTATGAGCATTGCAATCTATATATAAAAGAGGGTATAAATAGGGGTTTTTTATTAAGTAATAAACCTGATTTCTATGTGTGGCACAAGAAACAGCCTCATTATTTTAGTCACATCTTCTCTGTCTAAATCTGCCTGTGTATGTCTAAAACTTACTGTACTCATATATTCTAAAATGAGTCTGAAATTTTGCCATGAGAGTAATATGAATTTTTGTTCTTGGGAAATTATTTTAGTACTGTTTTTAGAATGGAATCAGAAAGCTAAATTAGGCTAATCCTGGACTAAAATCTTTATAAAGATATATCCTTTAAGAAGCAAAGGAATTATTTGCATTGCCTGACAGAGGAAGCTGTCTGCTTTTCTACATTCCCGTCCTTGGTTATCAGCCATTTGCCAGGCTGATACTTCACAATTAAGATAAGTTTCTGTTTAGTAATTATTTCTTAGGGGTAGATTACTTAAGAAAAGAACCTTTCCAGATCACAAAGCAGAAACACAAATCTAGCATTTAAAAGATATTCCTATATTGAGATGAAATTGTAGATCAGCAGTGCTCTTTTCCATTTTTTTCTCTTTCTGATACATTTGGACAGATTTTTCAGCATAACGAACTGCAGTTTGGTGCTAGTTGTAGTGGAAGTGTTGCTTGCAGTTAGGATCAAACGCAGTTTAAGCAAGAGATGGCCAAGTTCAGCTACGTTTTCTGCACTAGTTTAAGTGGCCCACAGGCCAGGAGTTTCTTGGTAATAACTTTTAGTGATCTTTTTGTTCTAGAAAATTACCCTGGAAAAGTACAGTTTACATAGTTTAATCTGGTATTTCTTAATTTTCATATTCTTTTATTCATTCAACAAGCAGTCATTCAGTGCTTCTTTGTGCAAAGCCCTGAGGAAACATTAGTGAACAAGAAGGATATTGACCGCTGTTTTTTGAAATATAAGTTGTATTAAAAGCCGGTAGCGCTATTGTTGCTCACAGCAGCATACTATAGGAATCCCTGCTCTACACTGACCTGTGCTTGCCTGCCTGCTGTCTTGCTCTTTTCTCTCTCCTCACCTCCCTTTCTCTCCCTCCCTTCCTCTCTTTTCCCTTCCTTCCTTTCTTCTTGTAACTGTTTCTTTCTTTGAAATAGTGACCACGGGCAAATTTTGAACTGAAGTCATCTAAGCATAGGAAAAACTATATATGATATTTATTGTATAGAACTTGCATGGTATAATTAGATGGGAGATGATAAAATTCTTAATTTCCCTAAAAGGCCAAATGGCATCTGACCTGTGCAGATCTCGTGGTGCGTATGTTTGTTGCTTAGCTCTGAAACTGTGTATCTTTAAATGGGTTTATATTATTCTGTTTTAAGTAAAATTAATATCAAGTATGCTTTTTAGATGCAAACGTTTATATGATTAGATAATTTTTATTATTGTTTCTTTGATTATGTATTTTCTGAATTTGAATCCTGATACATCTTCTGGAATTAGCCATTTTTGTGCCTGTTATGTTACAACTGGCACTTTTTTTTGTTTTTCAGGGCGCTAATTGCCTTGTTATCAATTGGGATGTATCTAGAATACATCCCAGTTAATTAAAGGCGTGTGAATGGTTCTGGTTTTTTTGCTGTTCTCTACTGATGAATTTGAAGGTAATTAAAAGTATAATTCTTTTCTCCTTTAGCATCAGACAACAGTCAGCGCTTTCGAGAAACCTGTTTTGCATTTGCATTGACCCCACAACAAGTGCAGCAAATCAGTAGTTCCATGTAAGTTGTCTTCAAGTGTAACTTGCATTTTGGTCTTTGAATCTAGTATTGTCTATAATAAGTGATTTTTTTAGAACAGTTATTGGGTGAGTATTAGTGTCATGCAAATATTAGTATTGAAAATACTATTATAGTGTTAGTTACTCTTAAGAACAGTTATATCTCTGATAATTAGAGAAACTTTCTGGAATAACTGTCCTTGAATCAGCTTTCATGTGCATATTTTTAAAATAATTGTAGTTCTTACTCTGTCTTTTCTAGGGATATTTCTGGGACCAAATGTGACTTCACAGTACAGGTCCAGTTAAGGTACAGTGTTGACTACAATATATAGCCAAAGATTAAAAGTTAATATTCTTTAAAGATTTTCTTAAAAATCTACCTAATTTCCAATAAGTATATTGAAAGTATTGGGTTCAGATGTTTGGCTGAGGAAAAAACTTTTCCTGTTATGAAATATCCTAATTTTTATACAATTTAGATTTTGATACATCAAGTCATGTACCATATATCTAACCACATTTCTCCATTTAGGTTACCCGCAGTTGGTTGCGAGGCTCCAGCTAATGATATATTTAAATATCATAGTGGTCAGCTCTTTAGAAATATCAAGTTTTATGAAAGCATAGGCCTTATCTGCATGAGTGACGAACTTCTGTAGATAAGGTACTAGTACTTAGGTTAAGTCTACAGTGTCTCATGGACTAACAAAAACCAAAATATTCTAATTTGCTTTGCCCTATATTTTAAATCATTAATTTGAATACTCTCTAATTTAGATTCCATCATGAGACATTTCTTGATAGTTTTGCAAAGACGAATGGAAAATTTTCCAACATGGATTCGCAACTGCCCCATAATCAATTTCTCTTCTTAGCCCATTTCTTCTGTCTAAGAAATAAATATTTTACATTAATCTCTCTCTCTCTTGCTTATATAAACCATCTTATGCTGCTCTTTTTACTCAGTGACTATCCGTGTGTGAACCTAAGTGCCCCACACTGTTCCTATTGCCATAGGGATAGAAGAGGAACTACAAGACAGTTGTTTTCTTCAACAAGCTGTTTTCCCCATAGAGTGGGAAGGATAAGTCAAACAGGAAGCCTAGTCTCAATAATCAGTTACTGAGTTGTATGTACAAATTATAAATACACTAGGAGGTCAGAAAAGAGATTAAAGCACTTGCTCAGTGCTTCGTGGAACAATGTGAAAACCTCTGATCTAGGCTTAAAAAATAGTGTGATAAAAACAGTGAGAAAGGAGAGGAGAGATTGAGGTCTTTGTTTTGGAAGGCGCTGACCAAGGTGTTCCTATATGTAAAAGGTAATTTATCCTCTGTCGGGGCAGACTGTGATAATGACTGAATAAATTAAAGGACTAAAAATGATGCCTTCCTAATTAATTATATATTGCTGTAGTCTTTTTTACTTTCTGCCTCAACAATTTACATTTTGTTAATACTGATATGTGACATTATCCTTTAAAACTGGTTTTCAGACTGATGCTTGGGGCAACCCTTAGGGGTCTACTACACACACACACACATACACACACACCACACACACACACACACACACCCTGAACCAAAGTAGTGCATGTTTGACTTCTGGGTTAGTTTTCTTTGAAGAAAGAATCCCAAGACTAAAAGTTTGAAAACCATAGCTCTAGAACAAAAGATCTAGTTACTCCCCTCAGTATTTTATATTAATGTACATGCATTCTTTAAAGCAGCGCAGGTATGGTTCACATTCTAAAGGAAGGTTTCTTTTCCTAATATGGATCAACTTTCTAATTTAGAGAGTCCAAGGGAATCTTGATGGTTAGAAATGATTTAGCTGTTTATAATTCAAATTTATGCCATAACTTGATGGAAAAGAACAATTTTATGTTATATTTGGTAATTCTTAGGCATCCACCCCTCCCCACCTCCCATTGCTAGGTCTGCAATCCCAGTGTATTATTTAAGTTGGGAGTGTATACCTATCTACTATCCTAATTATAAATCTTTATTGAAAACATGAAAGTACTTCAGTCAGAATTGGGATCAGTATTTTCTCTATTAGATTTCTAGTCTGTTTTCATTGAGGTCCCTGTTCACCTCCCCACCCGCATGAACTCCTTCACAGAAACTTTCTGCTATTATTCCTTCTTTTTCTTTTTACTTTGTTAGAGTGGTTTAGATTTTCACTTTTTATGGAATTGAATAGGAGTCAACTTGTCATATAAATTATTCTTTTCCTTCAGGCAGCCAAGCTCCATGTTTTAAATTTATCACTGCATTGGACTAATTGATTAAAAACTTTGTGGCATCCTTTTACTGTTGCAGTGTAAAGAACTGGCCTGTAATGGAAGGTTCTGCTGGGGTTAGAGGTGATCCTGTGAGCTTTGACATCTGTTTGCTAAGTATATTTCGAGAAAATCTTTGTAAATCAGTAATTCTTAACCTTTTTTTGGATCCCTAATCCCTTTGAGAATCTGATGGAAGCTGTAGATTGTCTCCCCATAAAGATGAACATATATATGTACTCATAAAATTTTACATGGAAAATTGTCCCATTATGTGGACCCTCTCCACACACAGATTTCACAGCCAGCAGGTCAAGACCCTGCACCACAGATGTTGAGGGGAAGATGTTTGTGTGTGATGAATATTTCACAGAATTCAGAGATAGGGTTCTTCTTAACATGTAACTCAAAAGTGCTGTGAACATTCTGTAAAGGTAGAATGAGCCTCAGCATATATTGGGAATAAGAGGTAATTAAGAATAGACGGCTTAAATAGTAAATTAATAATTTATTTCTTGATGTACGTAAGAGTGAATAGAGTGAGAATTTATAAATTATGTAGCTGTCCTTGGTTTTCCTAAAAGATTATGCATTTAATTTAGAAATAAATACTTTCATGAGTTTCTAAAATAGTATTGTAAGTACATGTAAATATAATACAGATGATGTTATTTCTCAGGGAATAGTGGAGTACCTTGGCTTAGTGGGCAGAACTTGGTCCTGGGAATGGACTTTCAGTATTTACAGTATGTTCTGCTGAGAACCAAAAAAATATTCCATAGGCAAATAAGTTTGATTAGTACTGTATATTATATCTCACTTTAAAAAAGTTATAATGCATGTTAGCCTAGCTCTGAGAAGTTCTGTATTAAGGAAACTTAATTTAATTTTTTGTTTCAGAATTTCTTAAATTTATTAAATTTATTCAACTCTAGAGTCTTTTTTTCCCCCTGCTCAGAACATGCTTAAACAGATGATTGGAAATATTATGAAAACAACTGCAGGTTGACAGCTGTGATCACTGAAACTCTGCATTGACAGAATTATTTATTTTAAACCTGTTAAAATATGCTTATTCATCATTGTCTAGTTTTAATAGTTTTTTTGTTATTGGTGTTTGACCATCCTTTAGATTAGCTATTGAACAAAAATATTAATGAGCTCATCCTTTAACAAAGGAAATTAAACTTGTCTTTTGTTGTTTAGGTTTTGTTTATCAGAAACCAGTTGTCCACAAGAAGATCACTTCCCACCCAATCTTTGTGTGAAAGTGAATACAAAACCTTGCAGCCTTCCAGTAAGTCCTAAAAGCTATTTTTTAAATGCATTGCCAACATAGCTATCAAGTAAGTCATCACAGCTGTTGTTAATCATAGTTTTTCATTAAGAAAACATCTTTCTTTTGGATATATATTCATGTGACTGAGTGAAACACTTGTACCAAGTATGTACAATTAACAGCTGTGACATTAGCTATGGAGACAAAGTCTAGGACTTGGAGTTGGGTGTGGTAGTTTAGTGTTGTACTGGATTTTGGGGAGAGAAATTGTTTCAACAAAACCTCAACTGTATTCATGTGAATCTGGAAGCCTGTGGTGGAATAGAGATTTGAGGAATGCTATGCCTTAAACAGAGGATGAGAATGAGGGCTGTTACTGTCACCTTTAAAATATTCCTTATTCTCTTATCCAAACTCTTCATGAATTCATTCTGATTCTTAAATTTTAGAGGTTTTTAAGTTCTATCATCAATATTTTTCTCAGGCTTACTATAATGAAATTATAGAATTATTTAGAGAAACACACAGGAAACTCTTGTAAATATTTACTTCTCTACTTTTCAATGAAAATATTCATATTTTCTAGTATGTAGTTTGTAGGGGTTTTTTTGTTTTGTTTTTTTTGGGAAGTAGAAATGGTTGTGGAAATAATAAGTAGAAATAAATTATATTTCATCCTTAGGGTTATCTTCCACCTACTAAAAATGGTGTGGAACCAAAGCGACCCAGCCGACCAATTAATATCACCTCACTTGTTCGATTGTCCACAACAGTACCAAACACCATTGTTGTTTCTTGGACTGCAGAAATTGGAAGAGTAAGTAAATTTTGTTTCTACCAGAGTTTTGTATCATAAGGATGGGTTAATCTCCATGGCTACGTGAGCTTATATGTAAATGACATTGTAAAGTGAATTGCAAAAGGACTTATTTTTGTCTCACAATGAATTTTCAGCATGTTCCCATTTAAAAAATGAGATCATACAGTATCCATTGTTTTATAACCTGATTCTTTCACTCAGCAGTTTATCACAGATATCTTCCTATGTCGTTCTGTGTTCATCTTCATGATTTTAAATGGCTACGTCATATTCCAATATGAGTATGCCATAATTCAGCCTATTCTCTATTGTTGAGCACTTATTTGATTGATTGATTGATTGATTGATTGATTGCTATTTCAAAGAACATTTTGAAGACCATCCTAGTAGCTGTAGCTTTGCATACATAACATGATAATTTCTTAGAGTAAATTCCCAGAAGTGGAATTGCTGAGTCAAAGAGCATGCAGAATTTTAAGAAATTTTGTGTACATTGACAGATGTCTTACCAAAAGATGTTGTATAAATTTATTCTCTAACTTTCAATGTTATTCATGTGCCTGTTAACCCATACGCTGAGTTTTATCTTCTTTAAAATCTTTACCAATTTAACAGGTAAATAATGGCACCTTATTGCTTTAATTAGTACTCCTTTTATTATTACTGACATTGAACCTATTTTATGTTTGTGATTATTAACATTTGAAAATTGTATCCGTATCTATTTCTCTATTGCTGTTTTTCTTATTATTGATTTATGACTTCTTTATTTATTAAGACTTACCCCTCTTTCACATGTTGCAAATATTTCTTTCCTATTTGTTTGCCTTTTATTTTTATTTACGTGACTAATTTTAATGTGTAGAAGATTTCAATTATTATAGAGCCAAATCTTAACCAGTTTTCCTTGAGAGTCTTTCCCCCTCAGTCCCCATCACGCCTAGTCTATCTGCCCTTCCCAAGCTTACATAAATATTTGCTTATATTTTCTTCTAGACTTTTAAGGTTTCTTGTTTTACCTTTAAATATTTAATCCACTGTAAATTTATATGTAGTGTGAAAGAAAGATTTATTTCCATCTTTTAAATAGTCAGCCAGTTGTTCTAAAACCATTAACTAAATAAATGCTGATTCAGAAGCCACCATTATTATATATTTGATTTTTATTTATCCTGGGTGTGTTTCTGAACTTTTTCTACATTGTTTCTTAGTCTAGCATTCTTTTTCTGGGACAATTTCAGAATGTTTTTGATTATTGCAGTTTTATCATATGAACTCATACCTATTCACTAATTCATTTGAAATTTATTGATGCTTACTATATGCCATGCATCATACTGAAAACTGACAGTACCATAGCAAGAAAAAAGTCCTTGCTCTTTTGGAGCCTGCGATCTAGGGGCCAGGTGGTCACACACAAAAGTGTGACCTTATTTAATGTAAGTACTATAAAGGAGAGGTGTCTGGTGATTTTAGAGTATATTAAAGGGCACTTTGAACTAGAGAGAGGTCAGGCAGGGCTTCTCTGAGGAAGTAATGATGAGCCAAGAACTGAGAGAAGGGTAGAAGGAATCAGTTAGGCAAACAGGTCAAAGGAAACTACCTGCACAACAGTCCAGGGGCAGCTGTGAACCTAGTTCTTTTCAAGAAACTGAAAGGGAGCCACTGTGGCTAGAGTGCAGAGAATGAGTCAGAGCAATATACAAGATGAGGCTGGAGAGGTAAGAAAGGGCTGAACTATGCAGGGCCTTTGAGGTAATGTTAATGTTAAGGATGTTCTCTTTTTAAGTAGAAAGTTTACAGGGCCATATTTCTGTTTAGAAAAGGTCATTCTTCAGAGTGATAAACAGCTTGAATGGAGGCCAGACTCATGCAGAGAGGTCGCCTCTTAGGAGCAAGCTATTGCTTTAGTATTAGTGAGAGAGACATTATATTAGCCTAGAATGGCGGCAGTGGGGATGGAGATAAATAGGTAGATCTGTAGGACTAAGTGATAGATTAGAAGTAGGGGCTGAGAGAAAGGGAGATGTCAAGGATGACTCCTTGGTTTTCTGGCTTAAGTAACAAGGTAAATGATAACATTACTGAGATAGAGGAAACACTGAAAAAGGACTGAGTTTAGGTTTTGTTTTGCTTTGGAGGAAGGAGTGTTGGAGGACTAGATGGAGAAAATTATGAGTTTAGTTTCTAAGGTATTGAGTTTGAGACGCCTTTGAGACATTCTGAATAGGCAATTTGGGCATGTAGGCTCAGAGGTTAAGTTTGGGCTAGAGGAAAAACTGAGTCATCTGCATATTGGTGGTTATTGGAGCCACACAAGTAACACTGATGTTGTTTAGAGGAAATGTATCCAGTAGGAAGAGGAGAGTGCCTAAGAGTTATTCTTGAGAAACTATAACATTTAATACGGGGTAGAAGAGAATGAGCCTGCAGAGGACCTGGGGATATAGTTCCAGAGAAGAGCAAAATGGAGGGTGAGTATGAGAACCCAGGGGAAAAGTTTCAAAAAGGAAAGAAATGGTGAGCATTATTTAACAGATGTTGAGAAGTCAAGTATGTTGAAATCTAAAAAAATACCATTTGGATTAGAAACATGAAGGTGACTTTAGCATGAGCTGTTTTGGTGGATGGTAGGAAGAGATGCCAGATTGTGAGCCAGTGGTGAGGCAATGGAGATAGCGAGTTTTAGAAATGTGGCTTTGGAAAGAGAGAAGGGTGAGCTGGAGGGAAATGTGAGATGAGAGTGAGTTGTTTGTTTTAATGGGAGAGTCTTTAACATGTATAAAAGATGATGGCAGGTATCTTTTTGAGTCGTTAGTGTCCTCAAGTTGATTCCAATTGCTAGTGACCCTGTTTACAGCAGAGCTGAGCCCTGCCCTATCTTTTTGCACCATCCTCTCACCTTCTGATGCTGTATCAGCCAATGCTCTGCTACTATTCATAGGGTTTTCATGGCCAGATTTTTCGGAAGTGGGTGGCCAGGTCCTTCTTCCTAATCTGTCTTAGTCTGGAAGCTCCTCTGAAACCTGTCTGCCATGGGTGACCCTGCTGGTATTTGAAATACCAGTGGCATAGCTTTCAGCATCACAGCAACATGCAGCTGCCACAGTATGACAATCAACAAGAAGGACTGGGAAACAAACCCAGGCCACGACAATGAGAGCACTGAATCTTAACCACCAGACCACAAGGGCTGATATCTTCTTGAGAGGAAGAGATTAAATATACAAGAAAGAAGAAAAAAGGATAATCAATAAGGAATTGCGTGGTAGCTCGTGGAAGCTAGGAGGGGACAGCTTCTTTAGTTAATGGAGGAATAAAAGGATTGGATGAGTGTATATGATTGCTCCTGGAGAGATGAGGAAGTTATGATCTGATGCCTTCTCATATGTCTGTGAGATAGGAAGTGAGGTAAGTCTGCTGAGAATGAGAGAAGAAATAGGGGCTTTGAAGAGAGTGGAAATGTTGGAAAGGTAATTACAGAGAGTGAGACATGTTTCCTTACATTACTCCCCGAATCTTTCTGGGAATCTGAATGAGATTGCTTTAAATTGGTATATAAGTTCAGGAGGATTAATTTATTTATAATATTTAATGTTCCCATTCCAGGAACTGTATGTTTCTCCATTTATTCAAATCTTCTTTTATGTTTCTCAGTACTTTAGTAGGTTTCTTATTATAAATCTTCCATATTATTAATTTTCTTTCTTTCTTTCTTTTTTTTGCTGAGGAAGATTCACGCTAAGCTAATATCTGTTGCCAATCTTCCTCTTTTTTTTTTGCTTGAGGAAGGTTGTCCTTGAGCTAACATCTGTGCCAGTCTTCCTCTATTTTGTATGTGGGTCTCTGCCACAGCATGGCTGATGAGTGGTGTAGGTCCGCGCCTGGGATCTGAACCCGAAAACCCGGGCCACTGAAGTGGAGCACACCAAACTTAACCACTACACCACAGGCCGGGCCACTTCCATATTGTTAATCACTGTGTTGCTTATTATTATTATTGCTATTGTAAATAGATCTTTTTTTCTATTATATTTTCTAAAGTATTTATTTATTGTCAGTTTATTTAAAAGCTAGTTATTGTTGAGTGTTTACTCAATACCTGAATTCATATTTGTTTCCAATAGCTTTTTAGTTGGTTTCTTGGTATTTCCAGGTAGGCAGCTTTAAGTTTGAGATGTATCATTATAGAAATAATGATAATCCTAATACTTATGCCATAATTCCTTATTCTTGTTCTCCTGTGCTGCCTAGAACCTTCAGAACAATGTTAAGTAATGAGAGTGCTAGTGGACATACTTGACTTACTCCTTATGTTAATGAGAATACTAGTGTCACAACATTAAGTATTATAATGGCTATTAATTTTTGAGAGAACTTAATTATATCAACGATGTATTCCTATATTCCTCTTTTACTGAATATCTTTGTGAGAAATGGATTTTGAATCTTATCAGTATCCTTTTTGACATCTATCAAGGTTATATTTTTTTTTCTTTGCCTAATTAATAAGTCATGGTTAGGTTTTAAAAACACTTTTAAATGTTTTACTTGTAGTGTACCTTGGATTTTACCCCTTTTGTCCCCCTTTTTGAAGAGTGTTGAAAATGTTTTGTTTTTGTGTGTGTGTGAAAAGTATAGCCTACTAGGGAAGTGTGGTAAACACCAGGATGTTTATAGTGAACTGTGGGAGAGGTAGGAAATGTTCGTTGCTGATATACAGCACTAGGGGAGAGGGCAAGATACTCCTCCATGGGGAAGCCTTTCAAACCTCAGAAAGAAGACGGTATCTTCAATGATTTGAAGATCTACCAGGTGAGATCTACAAGTTGGAGACCTTCTTTTTGAAGTAAAAGATTGAAAGAAAATTATTCTTTTCCAAAGCCCAGAAGATAACATAGTAGACTGTTTTTCAATCACTAGTTTTAATTCAGCTCTTACTGTTTTGGGGATTAATTTGTATTATTAGTTGCCATTGAGAAATGTTAGAAATATGTCTTCAAAGGAAATAAATAGAAGAGCGAGTGTTAGCTAAATCTGCTGTGGTGATCATTTGCAATATATAAATGTGTCAAATTAACATGTTGTACACCTTAAAGTAACACAATGTTATATGTCAATTATAGCTCAATTTTTTAAAAAAGAAAACATAATAATATATATATATAAAAGAAGAGCTCGTACAGTGCTTGAAGGAAATAAGCTAAGTGAACTGTATTGTAATGTCTTATCCTACCTCAGGGTAATCGCTGCATTTAGCATCTATTAAACTCTTTATAGAGAAGTTATTTAGATCTTGGTTGTAAAGGACACTTAATGAGTAGGTTATATATATCTTAATTACAGAGAAAATGTCCTATGAATTTGATAAACAATTTTGAAGGCTTTCAAAAAAGCATTTGACAAAACATCAGCGTAAGGCAATATATATCAATGTTGGAGTTAGGTAGTACCTTGAAGGGTTAGTAGGAACAATATAATATCATCTACTGAAAAGAGATACTATATCATCATGAAGTTTTGGGGCTTTTTGCTGCTGAATCTCCTTCATGTGATATAAAATTTAATTCCATATTACCAGTACAAGTGGCATTTGTTAATACCTGGCATTCTTTTTTTTCCTTATTTGGTTACGTGTTTCAACTAGAGTGAACATACCTTTTCACTGAAGTTGTAGTTGTAGTTTCCACTTGATCTCTCCTTAAAAATTTATGTAAAGCCTTAGGGTAATTCCTAGTTCTGAAGATTCAAGCTGTCAGTACATAATTTCACAGTGTTAATTAGCATTTCTTCAGTTTCTATTATACCTGAAGCATTAAATAAATAATAAAGGTGAATAAGGTTTTTTTTCCCCCTAAAAGAAGGTTTTTAGTTTTATATTAGATTGGTATGTTGTATGCTCTAAAATTTAGGCAAGTCGTAAGGTTACTTGTTCCTCATTAATAAATTGTGAAATTTACTAATGAAAGTAAATTAGCTTTTTTGACACTTCATTTTTTCCCCAGAAAATGTGTAACATATGAATGTGGATAGGTTTCTAAACTCTAAACGAAAATTTGACCTTCCAGAGTGCATTGTAGGATATTTTCTCTTTTGCCAAAACAGAGGAATGCGTTATCAAAAGTGTGAAAGTAACTGAAAGTTGGAATGAACATTGGTCTAGCTTAGGGGAGTTACAGCAAACCAGGTGTGTGAAAGCAAGAACTGTAGAGAACTGCACTGGCCTTGGTCATTGAGTAAGTCCATTGTCCTAACATCCCTGCCTACTCTTTCTTCTTGCTTTCTAGTGCTGGCTCTGTCATCAAGCACATACATGATCATGAGCAGATTACATATCTTTTTATGCCTCGGTTTCATCAGTCCTTCACTTAGAAAAATACTCATCCTACCTGTTTCTCATAGGCCTTCGGTGAGGTTTAAATGAAGTAGATAGTGTATAGTGTAGTTAAGAGTGCTTTGAAAACTGTATGTAGCTATAAGATAGGAGATGGCAGTAATTATTGTTCTTTTTGTTTCTTTCTGGATCTCTTGATCTTCCTCCTGATCCCAACATCAAATGGAAAGTGAGCCTTCTTATTTAGATCTCTCTCTTACCCTTTATAAGCCTCAGCACTCTTTTCTTCCTCTTATCTAATCACGTGCCCGTCACCTCTACCTTGGCTTGTTAATTATTTCCTTTGTCCCCTTCTCCTACTACCATCTCCAGGTAATCCTTTTGCTGGTAATGGATATTCATCTATTCATTTGCCAAACCAGCAGCTTCTCTTTGCAAGTCTTTAATATTCCCTCTGCTTGTTGTGATAATGGCCCAAGTAAGATCTTCTCAAGAACTGGTTAAAGGCATACAGAGAGATTAAATGGTATAGATTAGGAAGCCAATCTAATTTGTAATTTTTTTAATAGCTGCTATGTTAGATACATGTATTACCTACTAAATATGGTTTATGATGACTTTGACATCTTATTGGCCTTGGTTTATATTTAGTTTTAACAGCCTTCTTTTATGTAAGTGCTTTAAATTGATTAGCTTCAAACATAGGCAGTCAGGTAATATAGAAGCATGACAGACCTGGCTTTATTGCTTGACAGTTGCAAATTAGGGCAAGTTCTTTTACTGAGAATTAGGGCAAGTTCTTTAACTAAACTTCACCTTCCTCATCCATAAAAGTAGGTTTTTGACCACCTCAGCAGCTTTTTGGTTAGGATTAAATGAATTACTGTTCATGAAAACACCTAAGATAGTGCTTGGCACACAGTAGGTGTTTTAACAAGTGTTAATTTTCTTTCCCTGTCACTGTGGGATTAAAATAGATGTCCTATTTACTTACATATGTTGTTTTCTACATCTTTTTTTTTCCAGAACTATTCCATGGCAGTATATCTTGTAAAACAGTTGTCCTCAACAGTTCTTCTTCAGAGGTTACGAGCAAAGGGAATAAGGAATCCGGATCATTCTAGAGCTTTAAGTACGTATGATAAACTTATTTTATTTATGCAGCTGAACTATTCTGGTAAAGGTTAGAGTAGTATTTTCTTAACTCAAGAAATTTTAGGGTTTGTTTTTTTACTATAATTTGTTATAGAAGATTTAAAAAACTGAAAACTTTGTTTTGTGAGCTAGAGTAAATCAAGACTTAAGAAGTAGTTTTAATATCTTTGTCGTGACCTGATCTTAAAATTAACTTTGTGAAGTCAGTACATGAACACAGAAGAATATTATACCAGAACTTCATAAGATAAGTAAATGTTTAAGGAATTCTAGGAGATGGGAAGGAAATCTTGGCATATATTTTATGAGAATTATTTTACATTTAAAGTTTATCCAGGAAAAATAAACAGGGATATGTGATGACTACGTCCCTGCATTAACAAAGTAAAAAGAGAGTCAGTGGGGTGGTAGAAATATTAATGAAGTAGGTAGGTTCTGCTGTTAATTATGTGGCCTTGGACAAGTCACTCTACTCCTCTGAGCCACATATTCCTCATCTGTAACAAGAGGTTTGTACCACATGATTTCTAAAGCCCCTCCAGTCTGGGTTCGTAGGTATGAATAGCTAGATGGTTCATTTTGTTGTGTTGAATTTGAGATGTAGTAAGGTCGGCAAATTGACTGTTGTGGTTTCAGTTTTTGAGGCTTAAGGCCAGAGGTTGGCAGACTTTCCAACGAGGTTAGCTAAGTTCTTCCTTTATTTTCTTCTTTCTGAGAGATAGATGATTCATGGGTGGATTTGGGGGTGGGTTGGGGCACTTAGGGAACAAAACTTGTACAGACAAGAGTTAGCTAGCTACCCTTTAAGGATTCTTTTTTTTTTTTTTTTTTTTTTTTGTGAGGAAGATCAGCCCTGAGCTAACATCCATGCTAATCCTTCTCTTTTTGCCGAGGAAGACTGGCTCTGAGCTAACATCTGTTGCCAATCCTCCTCCTTTATTTTTCCCCCAAAGCCCCAGTAGATAGTTGTATGTCATAGCTGCACATCCTTCTAGTTGCTGTATGTGGGATGCGGCCCCAGCATGGCTGGAGAAGAGGTGCATCGGTGCGTGCCCGGGATCCGAACCCAGGCCGCCAGTAGTGGAGCGTGTGCACTTAACCGCTAAGCCACAGGGCCGGCCCCCTTTAAGGATTCTTGATGTGAGTTGATTAATGAAGCCCACTGTCAGATTTGTAGTTAGGAACACTCTGGTGGAAAGAACTAAAGTAGTAAGCCCAGCTTTTCTCCCACTTCTTTTGTGGCATAGCTTTTATCTTTTTTCTAACCTGCTTTTATGCCAGAGGAAGAGATCCCACTACTTCTGAACATCAGTATACCCTCAATAGGTCATTGAAGGATTTTTCTGTATTAAAAGGGCCCTTTTAAAAATGCAAATAGTTCTGAGTCAAGAGGAGCACACGTGTGGCTAATGCCTTTGTAGGCATTCCTTGACAGACAGTGGAGAGCTAGAACGACAGCACTGGTTTGAGGTCTAGGGGAGTGGAAGCACCATTTGGCAGGGACAAGGAGATAGTGGGGGATCCTGAAAGAAAAGAAAGGACAGACATCTGCTTTGAAGGAGAGTGCAAGAGAAGAGCTTTTCTTTTTTCACACTGTTGCTGACGTTTATTTCTGGTTGTTCTGATGAGAATCTTTATATTTGCCACATAGTGCTAGAATCTCATCTGGTCAGAAAGCATTATGGAATTATGTCAGCCTGTATGGAAAAGGTAATACCAAGAAATAAGGCAGATGAAGCTGGTATATTTAATAATAATAATAAGGCAAGCTGTCTTTGCTCAAGCTGTTAACTCTTCTCCACTTGTAGCTGTAGCACCATCTGGAGGGAGAGGGGGAACCGCTGAGCCTAGAATTATGTTATTTTCTGGAAGGAACCACTGTTAGCCACATTCAAAAGCTGTTTATTTCCTTTCTGATCCAATGCTAGAGGTGGACAGTAGTTGCGGGTTGGGTAGGATTTTTGTGGCAGTTTATATCTTATCTTACTTACTGGCCTGGGGAACCAACAAAACATTAATTTGGATCCTACCAATAAGACATTTATTGTAATTGACTAAAGAACAGATTGTTTGCCTTGATGCTATCTGTAAAGAAATAACTTTCCCCACAAATTAATTGTATAATTAAAACATTGAGTAAAACAACTTGAAGAAAATGTTGGCAGGTTTCTCAGATATTTTTGAAGAATCAGATTACCTACAAATATGTTCATTGTAAGTCTTTCTTAATCTTATCAATCAATTCTACTGGCAAAGTTTTATTAGTCAAATCAGGCACTATTATGTTCTTGTAAGAATGAAGTTGATAGTATTTAGGCTTTTCACAGAGAAATCCATTCTTTGATTAATTTGATTTAGTAGATTTTTGTATTGTGGTTTCCACCTTTGTGTAGAATTGTCTCCTCACAACTCTCACAAAAATAGTTCTTTACTAATTCTTGGTCAAGTTCCTGTCTCCTCTTTCTCTTCCTTCAGCATTCACTTTAAACCTTGGTGATACAATTCCCTCTCTTGGTACATTCCAATGCAAGAAAATTGGGGCTACAAGATGTGAATTGTTTAAACTGCCAATTTCTTCCTTAATCTTGGTGCCACCATAACTACTTTTCAACTTGTCTACATTTGTATCCATTCTTACTTATTCTTTTCAGTCTCAGGTGGAAATATCCCTTTTCCTGCTCAAAATTAATCTTTTATTCATTTATTCTTCTCAATCAAGAAATTATATTAAGAGTCTGCTGTGTTCCAGGCACAGGAGAATATAGTATTAAACAAGATACACACTGTCTCTGCATCCCCCAGAAGTTTGCAGTCTGATGGGAAAGACAGAATTAAATGATTACACAAGTCATTAATGAATTACAGTTGTGACATGTGCCTTAAAAAAGACAGACAGGGAACTCTGGAGGTAAAAACAGGAGAACATAGTCCTCTCTGGTACCGTGATGTTTAAGATAAGATTATAAGGATGAGGAGGAGTTAAGCCCCAAGATGGGAGGAGAATATGCCAAGTGGAGCTGGAACAGAGAGAACAAAGGAGGAGAATGGCCAGAGAAATAGCCATGAGGTGAGGTCATATAGATGATATAAAGACAGATGTTAGAAAACCCTTAAAGGATTTTTAAGCAGAGTCACATGATCAGATTTGGGCAATAAAAAGATCACTTGGAAGACTGAATTGAAGGGGAGCTAGGCTGATGCATGGGAGGCCATTTAGGAACGTATTGTACAGATAAGAGAGGGTGGTATCTTGAACTAACATAATGATGATGGAAGTAGGGAGAAGTTGACAGTTTGAGAAGTGTTGAAGGGTAGAAATGTTGATGGGTTATGTGTTGGGGGGTGGTGAAGAAAAAGGAGAGGTCAAGGAGAGGTTCTGGGCTTCTCAAGCACCAGGCTACATGGTAGTGCCATTTACTGAAATGGAGAACAGTGTTGAAAAGATCAGGTTGCAGGGGAAAGATAAAGATCAGGTTGCAGGGGAAAGATCGGAATGCACTCTTAGACTTTTGATGTTGGAGATGTCTGTTGAGATATCTAGGTGAAGATGCTCAGAATTGGTATTATAGATCTGGCTCCTTCATGTATCTGCTCTCTGTCCTATATTTTCAGTTCCTCCTTCTCTAGAGGCTCTTCCTGTCAACCTTCCCTGTCAAGTCTCTTTCATGCTTTAAAAAATACAAAAACAAGCTCCTCTCTAGATAGAGCTCTGTGTTCCTCCTGTTCTCATCCTAGTTTCTTCAAAGAGTATTCTGCATAGAGCTCTGTGTTCCTCCTGTTCTCATCCTAGTTTCTTCAAAGAGTATTCTGCACTTGCTCTTTCTACCTCCTCACTGCAACCCATTGTGATTTTTTAACTCCCATCACTCCACTGAAACTGCTCTTGCAGGTGTCACAAGTGACAACCTGATTGCCAAATTTCAAGTTTATCTTTTCAGTTTTCATCTTAGATATTTTTGCTGCATTTCATACCAACTACTTTCTCTTTGAAATTCTCTTCTCTGACTATTTGGTCTCAATTACTTGCCTTCAGTGGATTCTCTTAAGGGAAGCATCCTAAATATTTGTTTTCCCTGAGGTTTCATCCTTGGTCCACTTTTCTATATACTTTTCCTAGAGGTAATCACATCTACTCTTGTGATTTAAACTAGCATCAACTCCCAAATACATATCTTCATCCCAGACCTTCCCCTGAATTTCAAATATAGGTATGTATAGCTAACTGCCTTACTGGTTCCTCAGATTTAAGTATTTAAAACTGAACTCATCAAGTCCTATCAAATTTACACCCTAAATATTTCTCAAATCTGTCTTCTCTCTCTTCCTGTCATCACTGCCGTCATTTAAACTCTCTTATCCTGCCTTTAATTAATTAATTAATTAAATTTTTTGTGAGGAGGATCGGCCTTGAGCTAACATCTGCCAATCCTTCTCCTTTTTTTCTTTATTCTTTTTTTCTTTTTCTTTTTCTTTTTTTTTTTTGCTGAGGAAGACTGGCCCTGGGCTAACATCCATGCCCATCTTCCTCCACTTTATATGGGACGCTGCCACAGTATGGCTTGACAAGCAGTACGTCGGTGCTCGCCCAGGATCCGAACTGGCGGACCCCGGGCCACCACAGCGGAGCACACGCACTTAACCGCTTGCGCCACCAGGCCGGCCCCCTGCCTTTATTTTAAAAACCTATTCTTAAATAATATATCCCTCTCCTTTCTTGGATTCTTTTCATATTCTCTCTTATGGTAGCAACCTAAGTGATTAATGCAGATCTAATCTTACCATTCTTTTGCAATCCATGGCTTCTTAACACCAATGGAATAAAAACTTCGACTTCATTAGCATGACATATACAGCTTTCCATGGTGTGACACCTGCTTTTATTTTATTTTAGTTTATTTTTGTGAGGAACGTTAACGCTGAGCTAACATCTGTTGCCAATCGTCCTCTTTTTGCTGAGGAAGATTGGCCCTTGGCTAA